CGTGCCTCCCCCCGCACGGAACAAAGATATAAATGTTCACACGTTGCTGCACTCTAGCAGTCTCTGATGATGAACTCCAATTCGAGTTTGAAAGCTAAGCCTAATAGATCTATCGTCCAAGTGATCGTGCCTTCGTCTTCTTGTAAACAAGAACCTGGGATGCGCATTTATAATCATTCCTATCTCTAAAAAATCCACTAACTTCTGTCCTAAATATTTTCACCATATATGTGCTCCTCCGCACTACTGAAGCCTGCTGAAATAGTTGTCTTAGATATTATTATGCCATTTTCGTTTAATTTTCCTTATCTGTTACAATTTACATATAGGGACAGACGCAGTACTCTAGATGCTGTTGCGCTTTCGATCCACTCAGCACAAAGAGATTTAAATAAGGGTTGCCATGCGTACGCACGTTTTTTTCTTGACTACTCCTCTGCCTTCAATAGTTTCGCATGTCATCTCCTTACCAAAACATCCGCGTGCGGCCCTCCTGTCTAGGCTGTCTCTTGGCTTGGTGATTATTTTACTTCCCAGCCGTCAGTTCGTCCACTCTTATAGGCGGAAATATACTGTACTTCCCAATAACTGTGGAGTTCTTCAAGGTTTCATTTTATCCTGTCACCCCTTTTACCTCCACACTGATGACTTCTGATCGCCAAATGACTGTCTGCACCTTAATCGTGCGGACTAGTTGTTGTTCATTCTCTTAAAAGTTCAACACATCTTCAGTTTCTGAAGGATGGCCGGGACCATGTCTCAGCATGGTCGTTCGAAATTGGTCTTCTACTGAATAGTCAGAAATCAGTCCAGTTTGTTTTCCGCCTGCGACCCTCTCCCATTGCAGAATCCTAGGAAATCTTTCTCAACGAGGTATCCTTTTTCGGATACCTTGGTGTTACCCTGACATCAAATTTTTTTATCCTCCTCTTACTACTGAAGCCATTTTAACTAAAATTCCTAGTCTTCATTATTACATTCGTCGTTTACGTCCCTGTCACACACCTCGACCCCTAATCTGGGGATTCATAGATGTCTGCATTCTCCCTCTCATTCTCGATCCTTCTCCTGTTGTTTTTCCTGCTTTGCTTTGAAAAATATACAGATTTTAAAACTTGTCCTCTGAATGCACTTTTCTCCTGCTGGTGTTTCCTCTGTTGTTTTAGTCGATTTGATAACATGACATTTCAAAAACGGTCAGACAATTCACCGATCGAATTCTGGATGATGCTGTCCATCCCCCTTCACTAATTGCAGTGAAGTCGTTTCGCCCAGTGCGCCTGAGCTTCCGACATAGCTCTTCTCGTACATCGGCGCATAAGCGCTCCGTATGGCTATTTCTGTCACCATACCTTCAGTCTAAAGACCAAGAAATACAAAAAGTGAGACTTGAACTGTCCCCTTAATATATGTTCGTTCCTTTACATAAACCTTTTGACTCTTGTGCAGTTTGCTAATTCATCTTCTGGGGACAGTGAATGGAGTCCTTTTTGTTGGAGATTTCGATTAGTGCCTTAGAAATAAAGCGTATCTCTCTCTCTATCCTCTCTCTCTCTCTCTCTCTCTCTCTCTCTCTCTCTCAAACTACTCTGTCCAGTTCGTGGACGTTAAACAGAAACAATTGAAAAAAGGAGCGGCGGTTGCCGAGACAATGATGTTATTCACCTGCTCTTTCGGACTCGTACCCCAACCCAACATCAGAAGTAGCACCAGACACGGATAGTGGATGCACGGGTATTGCAGTATTTATAAGATGCATGTGTTTTGTCACCACGTGCCTACGGAAGTTGGCGGCTCCCGAAATCACTGAAGGTGGTTGCATTTAGTGCGAGAATGACTTGATTGCCCTAATCCGAGTCGTTATTAGCCGTAATTTCATCACCCGTGTTAGTTACTGACTTGATAATTGCCGAGAAATTCGGTTCACCAACACAGCACTAGAAACAGAGTTCGCGCGTGCGTTTTCCCTTGGCCAAGCACTCTGCCCATCCAAGGGATGAGTACAGAATATGGAGGCGGCAGATCAGCTCATTCTTAATCGCTTAGGGCAGGAAAACCAGGACTCAAACTGCTCTCAGCTCGTGTTTGCCACTTTGCTCGAGGATTTCGGCCTCGTCGAGTTTGAGGGTTTCTGTTGAGACTCAATACTTTTGCCGTGTCTGTCGCATTCCTGAACCCTTTGGTTTTCAAACTACCACAGGATTTGCTGCATACATCGTACACTTTGTGTCCGGGACGACGGCATTGCGATGTCTTTGGATGCCAGCACCTGATTCCGTACAATGACGACGAAAGTATTATCTACATGCCAAACCCAGGATATCCGTTTTTGGTATCGAAAGACCAGTGACTTCAGTCGTTCGGAGACCTCGTCGGCCTTGAGTCCCGGAATCGATGAAACCATTGGCTTGCCTTTCACCCGCTCGTCGATTGTTCCGTCGAACGTGAAGTGTTTCCTGGGACAGAATTTCAGAGGCTGAAGGATTTAAGCATGATCAAGGCGATTCTTCGTTTTAGCGTTCTTAATTTGCAGGACTGTCTCCGTTGCCAGATCCTGGGACACATAAGTGAACGGGGGACGATGCATCAAAAGTTATTGCAACCTCACCTGACAGGAGACTTACACCTTTAAGTTTTTCTCAAAACTGTGCTGATAAGATGACTGCGGTCAGAAATGTGGGAGGCCGAAACTGCCACGTTGCCTATCTGTTAGTTGGAATGGTTTTGAGCGATAGGCCGGATCAGAGGGGAGTGCCTTCTTGTTCACCTTGGGAAGGCCATCGAACCTGGCCAAGGGAATTTCTTGGGGTCTCACCATGCATCCGTCGATCGTCGGCATTCCCTCTGAGTTGTCCATCGCTAACAACGTCCCACTATTTCTGCTTGTCAGCGACATAGAATTGGGAATTACTCAGTAAGCTTTTGACTTTCTGAGGATAGTCTGCTCTGTCCAGTACGTTCGTAGAAAGCCCTTGCCTGTGGGCACGGCAACAAAGTCTTTTTCAGCCCTGACTTCTTTTGGCGCATCAAGTTCAACCTTAGGAGGACTTTGCGCAGTCTGTCGGCCATGAGGAGAGACGATATCTTGTGTCGGATAATGCTATCGGTCTCCTCCGTCGATTCCAGCTGACTGCGAACTGACTCCACCACTGCAACCATGCTGACAGGTTTGGCATCAGCCGTGTTGAATGAGGCTTCATACTGTAACATCTAAACTTCACTTTCATCGGCATCCTTGGCGATATTCTATAAACCAGCACCAGTGCCAGCCGTGTACCCTTGTGCACCAAGTTCTCTTACATTGCACTGTCTGTGGTAATGGATTGGATCGTGAATCCAAAAAGTCAGGCCAATATATTTCTTGCTCCAGCGACTGTGCCTCCTTCTTCTTAGCATAATCCCCAGCTGTTTCGACTTCCATCACTCTGAACATCCAGCTCATGATGGAGAACGATGTCAGTATTCGTGTGGCCTACGATAACGACAATAATAATAATAATAATAATAATAATAATAACAACAACAGTATTAATAGTAACAATGAGGAGGAGGAGGAGGAGGAGGAGGAGGAGGAGAAGGAGGAGGGGGAGGAGGAGGGGAAAGAGAAGAAAGAGAGGGAGGACGACGATGACGACTGCTGCTGCTACTGCTACCACCACTACTGCCGCCGCCGTTGCTGCCGTGATAATGAGGATGGTGGTGGTGGTGGTGGTGGTGGTGGTGGTGGTGGTGGTGTTTAGTGGTCATTTCTGGACTCCTTGTTCACGGCAGATAATCAAGCCCCGCGAACGGCACTGTGCAACTAGGGACAAAAGGCACACAAAGTCCCGAGTCGCACTACACAGTTGTCCGATATCCCATAAACACGGCGATATGCAAACCCTCCACAAGAGACTAGAAACGTAGTTCAAAAAATTGGATAACAAGGCGACTCGCACAGTTTACCGCAACTCTGGTATCGGGTCCCGCCTAACAGGAGCAACGGTCACAGCACCCTCAAGGGCTGACTCAACTATACTGGAAATGCTTGCATAGCGCCATTCAAGCTACATGTAAATCTTTGTACGAATGAGAAAGCTTCTGACCACAAGTGACAATACTGACTATACAACCGAGCACCTACTTTCCCCTTCGATGATAACTCATCATCGGCCAGCCGGTGGACAATTCAGCGCCCGCATAAGGATTGCTTATGAGACGTGAAATGGTTGGATTTCGGTGGGATCATATGCTCACAGACTCCATCAATCAGAGGCAGTGTCCACGTGAGTTCACTTTACAATGTCTGCCCGAGACTGAAAACTGATGTGCCCAATAGGTGTCAACAGCGTGATAGCAGTGAGGACAGACGTCATCGAAAATGCTACCCTCCCTCTCATGGCGGAGTCCGGTTGGTTTACCTCAGGGGTCAGAAGTTTGCCGCCAAGGTTGATTCTAACCAGAGAGCGACGTCAGAGCAACCTCCGGGGATGAAGGCATATGGGCTTTGGAAATAAACCTACTGTTCCGGAGGGTTTTATAATGAACTCACTTTTTGTTTGTGGTGTTACCAATCAGTGACTTCCACCGTGACTGCTTACAAATTCCTTAAGATATTTGGGGTGCTCAAAATCTCCACTACTTAGGCAACTTATAAGGGCTTTAGGCACCTTATGGTGCGCTAGGTCTCTGTGCAGTATGAAGATGGATCTGATCAGTTCAACACTTTGTCTCATGCGTCGCCCTTGTAATCTTGATTTTTCGAGCGTTCCTCTCCCGTGGCTGGGTAAAAGTTGAAAAATTTGTTTTATTTTTACCTGCTCGCTTGCTTGAAGAGGGCAATGGTAGTAGTCAGGCCGTACGAAGTGCGAAACCCTGGACCACTACTGCTCATTTGGCCAGTGCAATTGGGAATTAGAGCATCTGTCTACCAGTCTCCCATCGAGACCGACCTACCGGCGGACAGCACCGCCTAGGCATACTTATTTTCGTATCATTAGGCCCGACTGTCGTGCAAATGTTCGCATGCTTTCCAAGCTCCCACCCAGAGGTTTTGACTGCCGAAGGATCAGGGTAAACTTGAAGATGATCTCAGTGGGTCATATGGTGGTCTCTAAGGTGGTGGTCTTTAAGGGACCAACATTCCCTGTGGCCCTGTGTGTGGGGAAAAGACAACTGATGCCTAAGGGAGGTTGCCGGGTAGAGAGCAGAATGTGGACTCCCGTGTTACAGATGGCCTTACGTCAAATTCCGCGAGAGGTAAGGTTAGAGCCGGAGTTAGGGTTGGAGTTAATGCTAGGGTTACGATTAAAGCTAAGGCAACGGGAACAGGCACCCCCTGGAATTTAGCGCAAGGCCAACTGTACTATGAGAGGTCCTTATTTCCGTATCCAAACGGCTGCTGAAGTTTTGTCACAAACGTTGCTAGGATACACCAATGGGGAGGCCGAGTTTAACCAAGGGGAGAAAGACAAAAACAACTCATTCGTTTGCCAACGGGCTGTCGTTAACAGAAGTTTTGGGAAGAACGTATCCACCGCCGATCTTGGTGGTCGATATTCCATGTACTTCTGAGGGGATTCATTGACGTAGCAATATTCTCTTCAGAAATCACTAACAAGGAAAAACTTATCTTCTAGTGCAACTGAAAATTCTGCCTATTAAGTAAGAAGTCAGACTTAGTTTCTGGTTTAAGGAGAGATAGTTATGGAAATTTGTACAGTGCCCGTCCCGTATTTTTGACTGACGTTAGTACGGAGAGTTGTCTGAGTTTTCGCTTTGTACTGCGTCTAAAAATGAAAATGGTTTTTCTATTTTCTGCCTAGACAGGCGATACGGGAGTGCCTTCGTTCTCCTTGATAAGAGACCACACAAATTGCGAGTCTCGCGAATGCAAAGCAATCATCGAAATGACCGCCACATTGATTAAATTCTTCAATAAGCTGGTCCAACATGCTTTTCTATAGATGTTTCATAAACTCGCCTGCAAGCAGGGATCTCAAGGGTTATCGCAGACTGAAAAGAAGATGAAATTAGTCATTAAGGTAAGGTTATGCAGTAAATGTCCAACCAGAAGTAGCTCACTTAGTGCCTCCATCAGTATTCAGATAGGGCGCTGATTAGCGAGAAATTCTTCACACTGGCATGTTGTTGTTGCCGTCAGAATAACGTCTATGATAAGAGATTTCACACCAAGAAACGTGGAGTTTCGTTGTTTTCATCCTGGTCGCTTTGTTATTCACGACTTAACGTATCTCAGACGCCCTCGCAATGGTTTGTTTTGAGTGATTAATTCGAGTTTTTTTCCAATAGCCGAGTAAATTTAATTGTACCTAACCTGCAATAAATGCACTGGCAAATTAAGTTTATGGAATTTCAACGAGCCCTGTGTCCTTGGTGGTTTCACACCAGCACACATGACCTTGACCATGAAAGTTATTGTCGCTTAGACACCGGAGAAACTCTGTAATCCGCGATCCAATGGTGCCTGTTTGATCTTTGTTTCCTGCTTCCCATCTGAAATGGATCGGACTAATTCAAGGCGATTTGGCTTTTTAAGCATAATCATATTTTCTGATAAGGCCTACCCCTAATTCTTTGTCGGAAGCGCCTCTAGAGCACTTGGTTAGTAAAGTCAAAGGCATGGGTCATGTCATTTCTCTTCTGCAGCTGAATGGCGCAAATATGAGACTCGGCTTGACAACGTTAGCTTTTGGTTTGCCTTTTGATTTCAACCTACACAAGATGGCCGTTAAGTCATTGCACAAGCTAGCTAGTTAGGGTACCTTTTGCCATTGACTTTTAAAAATCATTTCAGAATTTGAAAGTTTGCCCCCTGGAGATTTGTTGTGGAATGTTTTCCGGTCGGTCGATGCGCAATAGCCGTTACATTCTCTACTGAAGTCAGCATTTCGTTTTTCTAACGTAAACTCATTTCTTACGTGTTTGCATGAGGTTAAATATGGGTATCATTTAGGTGACATCAAACATCTTACCTAGCTTAAAAAGCTCAATTCCCTACGTATCTCATAATAAAAATAAACGTAACAAATTAACAAAAAGTTAATCAGTTTTTTACTGGTAGAGCGGCTTAGGAGCCATCCTGCGACTTATATCTGGCCTTCATTATCAAATTTTCTGAAGCTTCAAATATGCTCTCTGCGAGGGGATAAGGTAGACTTTCACTAAAAGATTTCAAAATAAACCTTCGAGTAGGACGGCAATACCACTATGCATGGATTTCGTTAAGTAAATTACGCCTGATACACCTGAAAAGGTCACCGAGGAACAAGACAGCATCATTGACAATCTGCAGCCCTCTCTGACGTGTCATTCGGAAGTAGGAAGTATTCGGACCGAATCTCTCCTTGGCCTCCTTATTGGTCAGTGTTTGTCAAACTGCGCCGCAGCTCACTAGTGTGCCACAACACCTTACAGATGTGCGGCGAAATGAATCAAGGACTTTGTTAACTTTTTAAAGATTTCTTCACCAGAGCAAATAATGGCTGGTGGTGGAAATCCCAGGTTGGCCACTAAACTCGAATGTAGATAACTGTCACTGGTAGTCCAGGCCATACTTCCGTTGGCTACAATCCCCCAAACTTAGAGATTTAGTTTCATTCAGCTGGGCTTTTCCCAACTTTGTGACTCGTTAGTGGGTGGTTGAAAACGCCCGCGCAAAATTCTGCCAATAGCTAAGACTTTTAAAGTAGTTTTGGTTGAGTAGTATCCGCTTGCTACGAACTTCGCAAAGCATGATAACAGTTCCACTTAACAGAACTCAGTATGAGTAAACAGTATATGTGTCTGGTGGCTTAGAAAAATGCCGCAGTTCTCCATAGAATTATGGGCATTTCCAAGCAAAGGGTTAAAGTTGGGCCGGAACTTTTCGATTGACCGGAATTACCCCAATCCTGACTCCATGACGGGCCTTGTTTGTGTAGCTGTGTTCAGTGTACTTCAGTCGTTATAGCCCTACCTTCCTTCCTGAAAGTCGTGGCCGACCGGTTTCATTGTACTGGCAACCATATTTGCCTCGGAGTTCAAGCAATTACAGGTCACTTGATTTCATCCTCGATGCTCCTGCTGCAAAATAATTTTACCTTATCCCGGACGCTTAATACAGCTCAGACGCACGGGTTTCGAGGCAGCCATAGCCTTCTGCGGTCCCAGTTAACAACTTACTCCATAGGATAATGCAAAGCAGACCACTTCGACACACGACCACTTGGATAATGCAACACGACAGCTCGACCGTTGCAACTGACGACGTCCCACGTGTGCTCCGCAGGGTGGGTGCAGCACCGGCGACTTGTGTGTGTGAATTAATTTACAGTGACGGTAGACGTGCGCTTCACCTAACGCACTCTCCCCCCACACCCATCTTGTTTCGGAGGCAAGTCCGTGTCAGGGCAACCTGTGGTAAACGCGGATGCAACGGTTGACGAAGCTGAACTGCCCGTCTACGCGTGCCACACACGACTCGGTCCCCAATGGACGACAGTAAGTACAGTTGGGGTCTCACGGAGATGAAAATGCCATAAAGACCGCATGGAGAAGGAGACACTGGGGCCTGTCTGTCACTTCCTCCGGTCAGTCCGCTGTACTCACCATGATGACCGAGCTATCTTTTCAGTCGGCAGAATTCCAAACCATGACTGATAGCGGATCGTAAAGTATTCATGTTTGTAAGCTTCATTATAGTGAGGAAAGCGCTGACTTGCCATGAGGATGGATTCCCCACTGTCGGTCCCACTCTCTC